TTTTCTTTTTTTGAATTTCTGCCATGATTACAAAAAAACTGCACTACAACTCTTGATACTATCGATTTTCACTTTCTGTACTACTCCAGCAACGGTTGTCTAAAGACTGACCAAAGCCGGAATGGTGTGAATTTTATACACCGATTCAGGTACAGATTCTTGGGTTTTTCCGGAAAAGTCATGACGCGTCTGCATTAAGGGACAAGAAACCTTCAGGTACCTACAGGGCTGCATCTTCTTCAAGGTGTACGATTTTATTCAACAACATTCAAATAAATCTTAAGCAAAGTAATAAAAAAATAATATTTATTTCTTCAAGAGTGGCATTTAAAACATCTTTTCGTATATTATATATCAATAATTTAGGGAACATTTTGAATATTTGTAATTACATATCGTGTGTATTATTTAAAACCTACTAACTGGAACAGCAATAATTATATAACATTGGTACACAGATGTACACTAATATTAAAATAATCGTCAAAAGAAATAAGAGGGAGTGTAAGACGCAATTAGTAAATTGGAGCATGTTTCGTTCAAGTGATTCTTCAGTATTGCCTCGAAATAAGCAAGTGGCTCGGGACCGAACAGTTGCTTATTTCGAAGCAGGTTGCTATTCGGCTTGACTTTGTTCTCGAAACGGGACGATAGAGAACGCCAGAAACGAGTGAGAGATCCGAGGTAGCGGCAAATCATAAAGTGATCGGCCGAGCAGCGATGTTATTTTTTGAACAAGGATAGAATATAGCATGCCCTCTCATTCTCGCACTATGCTTTATTTCGAAGCAAATATACCCGACTGAGAAAACATTATATATATTCTATCCTTTTTTTAATAACCGCTGTCACTGCTCAGCCAAGCGTGAAATTTATTACCCCAAACATCGGCTTCGCGCTTTCATGGACCTCACTCATTTTTCGTACCTCTTACTTTGCGGGCGACTTCAAACAAAGAAGAGGGGATAGCGAGTTGCTTATTTCGAGGCAATACTGTACATGCCTTCGGAAACGCATAGTGCGAGAATGAGAGGGCATGCTATATTCTATCCTTGTTCAAAAAATAACACCGTTGCTCGGCCGATCACTATGATTTGCCGCTACCTCGGATCTCTCACTCGTTTCTCGCGTTCTCTATCGTCCCGTTTCAAGAACAAAGTCAAGCCGAATAGCAACCTGCTTCGAAATAAGCAACTGTTCGGTCCCGAGCCACTTGCTTACTTCGAGGCAATACTGTATATAGAAAGGGCGGTTCGGATAAAAGGGTTGATATCTCCCTCAAAGTGAAAAACGGGCACCAACGAATTACAGTTATCTTCGTAAACAGGTCTAATAAATATTTATGCAAAGTTTCATCAAAATCGGAGTGTATCAGTCCCCGATGTTTCCTTGTCGGTGACAATTATCTGCTTTCAGCGTAGCAGGTTAATTTAGGAACGAATGTGTAAGTTTCATTTAAATTGTTTTCAAATTTTTCATCATTAACGTAGCCTCCAATTCAAACGTTTATTAATTATTCCATTTCAATCATTTTTATTTGTTGTTTAGAATGCATAGAATTTCCTATTTTACATTATAACAGGCGACAAGAGATTAGGTTTCGTATTCATTTTATACAAAGACTAAAAATGTTCTACCAATTCAGTTTTTTCATTGTGCTATACCAACGGGATGTTGAGCCGTTCGTTCGCGACCTACATCAGGCCCGGTTTTCGTAGCCGACTCTGCCGTCCCTGAGCCTGCGCGCTGTACGCACTCGGATTGGTCGGTGTTTTTTGTTAATAACTCGAAAACGGACCAACATTTTGGCGAAGGAAAAAGTTGTTTAGAATTACCTCAGCAATCATCCCTCTTCGGCTGTCGAGGTAGTCGTGTGTCACCTTGTATATCCGCGATGATCTCACTCGTAAAAATTTATGAAATTTGTTGTTTATTAACAACTTAAATGCGGTCAATTTTTTTTCGGTTTATGGTTATTAGCTAAGCAACAGAAATCTAAAATCACCTTACACTATCCTACAAATGCTACTTGTAGCGTCGAAACTCAAACTTTTTGTCTGAGCTCTGTGATTCATGGAACTGGAAAAGATATTATGGTAAACAAATGAATAAATAAATAAACACAATGTTTGGGGGCATACGGTAGCGTTTAAAGTGTATTTGTCAAAGGGCTGTACCGATTAATGGCAGGGAGCGCATTGTTGATGACGACATGGAGTCGTCATCGGCTTGACCGATAGACGGAAGCTGTGTGTTATTGATGACGACATGGAGTCGTCATCGGTTTGACCGATGCACGGCCGCTTTGGTGTTAGGTGTAAGTTGGGCGGTAAAATGCCGATTTTGTTGTTACATACCTTTGTAGCTAGGATAACTGCATCTTTAAACAATGAAACTCACTAATTCTGAACACGGTATTGATGCAAAAAATTACACTTTAGACTAGGTGCTTTGAAGAACCAGGAAGAACTGTGTAGGGCCCTCGAGCGGTACGCTAGACCGCCCTAGACCCAGCTACCCCTTCTCCCACAACGTGGGCGACGCACAGCGACGTCAATTTTTTCTTTGACGCGCATCCGTCTCAGGGCGTTGCAACGGTGAAACTAGCCGCGCGATATTTAAAAAAGATTTGGATCAGTTTCGATTCAACATGCTCCCCCCGTTGCGAGAGGATCGAGCAAAGTATTATTATGTGTCGTGTAAATACAAGTGTTGAAGTGTAAAATACAATATTATGCTACATTAGGTAATGGACATAATTGTGTAATGTTTCGTTTGAAAGTTCCTTGCGTTGTCTTAATAGTAGCGACTCGGACGTTTCCGTCGTTTCCAGGGTGTACCTCCAGGACCACTCCCAATTGCCACCTCATGCAAGGTTGCCTTTTGTCAATGATGAGTACAACAGATTCAGGTTCAAGGTTGTCATTGTCGTTAATTCATTTCTGTTGTTTTTGCAGTTCACTCAAATACTCCAACTGCCATCTCCTCCAGAAGTCCTGTCGAGCCTTCGTGATAAATCTCCATACTGATAGACAATTCTGCGGAACCATCGATAAATTTTCCTCGGGCAGTGCGGTGAGAGGACGACCTACTAAAAGATGTGCAGGTGTAAATGCAATAGGATCGTTAGGGTCAGTGCTAATGGAGCATAAAGGGCGAGAATTTAAAATCGCCTCGATTTCAATCGCTAGTGTGTTAAGCTCCTCAAAGGTAAGAAGCTGGTCGCCTATGACGCGTTTAAAATGATGCTTAAACGACTTCACAGCGGCTTCCCATATACCGCCGAAATGTGGCGACAAGGACGGATTAAAATGCCACTCGATGTTTTTCCAAAATGAGAATCCAAAAACGATGCCGTATCGCATGCAATGTGCTTTGGACCTCGGTGTGATAAGCGTTTTGGTGGACTTCTCGAATGATCAAATCTGTGACGTGATGACAAGACGGTAGAAGCAGAGGATGCTTCTGATCAGAAGAAATCTTCGCATTGAGCAACCGGCCACCTACGCGAAGCAATCCGTGCTCATCGAGGAATGGGTCAAGTGCGGCGAGTCTGCTATTCTTCACCCGACTTGATTTCGACAAGAGTTCGATTTCGTCGTGATAACGCTCTCGCTGAATGATACGGATAATCTTCCTCTCGGATTCCAATCTTTCTCGGACACTAACGGTCTTTCCTTTGAAATCATTGTATCCACGAAACCGTAAAACATAAGACGTAACATTTAATAATCTTGAATAAGAAGAAAAATGCTCGAGAAAATCGTTTGTATGCGTAACCGAAACCAAACATATATTTTTCCTTAACCCCGGCAATTCCGTAATAGGTAAATCAACGCTAACAGGCCACTGGTTTTCCGGTTGCCCAAGCCAGGTAGGCCCTGCAAACCAGCTACGATTCTGCATAAATTCAGAAGGACTCTGCCCTCGCGACAGCGCGCCCGCCGGGTTGTCACTGGTCCGTACATGCTTCCATTCGATCGAACTATCCAGTGCCTGTATTTCGGTGACTCGATTTGCCTCAAAAATCTTTAGCAAGCGCGGCGATTGCTTAAGCCACTGTAACACAATCGTGGAATCCGACCAAAATATAATTCGGCTTACCGGAAATTCAAAGGTAGGTTGTGCTTCTTTGTAAAGACGAACGAGAATCTGCGCGCCACACAATTCAAGTCGAGGAATTGTGACCTCTTTAATTGGAGCGACTCGAGATTTAGAACAAGCGAGACGAACATGAACGCGCCCGCCATTATCGGTCGAACGAATATATAGGCACGCACCGTAACCATGCTTACTTGCGTCGCAGAAACCATATATTTCGATGTGAGTCGGATTTTCATTTAAGAATCGACGGTCAACGTTCAAATCACGAATAAAATCAAGTTGTTTGGCGTACTGACTCCATCTAAAATGCAATTCCTGAGGCACTGTTTCGTCCCAATCGACTTTGATCTTCCAAAAATCCTGCATAATGAGCTTAGCGGACAAGATAATAGGACCGAGCAAGCCTAATGGATCAAAAATTTTTGCGATGTTAGCCAGGATATTTCGCTTGGTAATTTTAGCGGATAAATCGATTGAAATTACGGTGTAAATAAATTTGTCCAACTGAGAATTCCATATAACTCCCAGGGTTTTTAAAATCGGATTTTCTTCGACTGCGTAATCCAGATCCAAAATCCTTTCAGTTATATTGTCGAGCGCGTGATGGTGATTAGAGGCCCACTGGCGCATGTTAAAACCACCCAGCCTTAAGAGTTCAATTATTTCATCTCGAATTAATAAGATTTCTTCGAGAGAGAATTAGCACCGGTCAGAAGATTGTCCACGTACAGATCGCGCTTTAATGTCCGAGAAGCTCGTGGAAACCTCGCGCTTTCATCATGTGTGAGCCACGATACCGTGCGAATTGCTAGAAAAGCAGAAGAGGATACCCCAAAAGTCACAGTATTGAGTTCCCATACCCTGATCTCGTCATTATGATACCAAAACATACGCTGCTATTGACGGTCTTCAGGATGAACCAATACTTGCCGATACATCTTCTCGATGTCGGCCGTTAACACATAAACGTGCGAGCGAAATCTCATCAGTTGTTCGAAAAGAGAAGGTTGTATAGTCGGATCGACCATCAAAGTGTCATTCAATGAAATGCCTTTGTCCATCTTAGCTGATGCGTCAAATACCCCTCGTACCTTGGTGGTAGCACTAGAGGCTTTAATTACAGCATGATGAGGCATGTAATAGCCGTTAGCTGTTTCGTTACGAACCAAAGACATGTGCCCCATATCAATATGTTCCTGAATAACTTTATGATACTCAGATTTTAAATCAGGATTTGACTCTAATCTTCTTCGCACGAAATGGAAACGTCTAAGAGCTTGAGAGCGTGAGTTACTGAGATCGAGATCGCTATTTCGGAAAGGCAAACGCACCACGTAACGGCCGTTCGCGTCACGCACGGTATTTTCCACATAATACACCTCGCACAGCGATTCTTCTGACGTCTTTGAAGATTTCATATTCGCGTTTTCGGTCACCCAAAACTTGGCCAATTGCTCGGATAAATTAGCCAAATTACACGTCAGTACAGAGTTCCCCTCTTCGTTATTCAAACCTCCGGCAACCACCCAACCTGACTGCGTTTTTTGTAAAACCAAATCACATTTATCTCGCGACAAATTGATTAGGCCGATAGAAAGCAACGATAAAGTAGCTCCAGATCCGATTAGCATATCCACTGAACGAGGAATATGAAAACGAGGATCAGCTAGTTTTAGATTGGTTGGTATTTTAATCAGCTCGCGTGGGAAATTTTCCTCCGGTACAAAATCGGCGATTTTAGGAACGGTCAGAAAAGTCAGTGATTTCGAGAAATCGTTATGCATAGAACAAAATCGTATCTCAATGCTGTTTTTGGCCACCATATGCATCCCGTTGATGGCACCGATCGGAATAGGGCAGGCGCGCTTAAACAGCTTTAGCTTATTCGCGAACTCTTCCGTAATGAAATGGGCTGTCGCGCAGGTATCAAGTAAAACTCGGGCCTGAATGAAATTACCATCGGCGTCACGAACGCGGACAATAGCGCTTATCATTAGTTGAGAATGTGACGCACGCAAAACCGTAGCGAAAGTATCCACGACTAGTCACTGCGGCCCTTTCGTCTCAGGTAGCTCGGTCGAAATTTTATTAAGTGTATTCGGCGTACGCGGTGTCGTCGGGTTCGGAGCATTTGAATGCAAAAGCGTATGATGGAACCGATTGCAACGCCTGCAACGCATAGAATTACATGTGCCCGGATGCGCACGAAGACAATTACGACCAAGTTTTTTCGCCTTCACTACATCCCATCGCTGTTTGTGATTTAACCCTTCAAATCCCGGACACCTATAGATGAAATGATCTCCGCGACAATGGAAGCAAGCGTAAGAAGTGGACATAACAAATGTTTTTACGCCAGAATCAGACTTCCGTGCCTTGGACGATTGCATTTCCCGATCGACGCGACGGTTCTCACGCGATCCGTCTTTATCACGCGCGGTATCGCTGTCTAATGTACAGAGACTGAACGCGGTCTCGTTGATAAATTTACAAAAGGGACTGGCGGGATATGCATATGAAAAGTGCCCCCAAACGGATTAGTTTGATTTTTGGCTAGATATTACTTCTAGATATGTATATAACTTCCTTAAATTTTCAACCTGAAATATACATTATTTTTTATGTAATTTAACAATAAAGAATTTTACAAAATATTTTTTATTTAAAAAACTACTGGTTCGAAAATTCTGAAAAAAATATATGACATATACCTGTCATCTATTTAAAAAAAAATTATTTTCCTTAATTTGTTTATTGTAAATGTTTGAAAAAAGATAATGTTTATTTTAATAATTTTTCTAAATGCTTTATCGTTCGGGCACCACAAACATAAAATGCAATTGTACTGTGAAGTCGCAGGGTCCCCTCTCTCACCGAGTCCTCTGCGCACTTGTATAATTATCTCTAAGCTACTGATTTGGTAGGGGTTCTTACTTACCTTTCGCTGGGCGCGGATACCTGTAGAGATGAGTCGTCTTGGTTAGTGGAGTCGGTAGGGTAGATGGTCTAATTGAGGTTCACGCACTTCTGATCACAACAAATGTTTATTTGGTTCGAGTACAACCTTTAACTTGCGCGCGCTTTACGGATGAGGTTGTTCTGTCGGATCCCTGAGTTCCGTAGCAGAGTCGTACTTCGCGGAGTTAGGTGCGCGTCTTAGAATTGGTATCTCGGATTTTCGCTAGACGAACTGGCCGATTCCGAACAGCTTTCGCGGATCGCTTAGGTGATCTGATCACTACAAGTTCTGGGGTTGATAAAAATTATACTGTTCTGTCTACACGGGTTCTGTACTGGTTCTGCGCGATATTGGGTCTGTCGCGAGCGGGCTTGGTCGCGTTATTATATATTGATGAGCGAGGTCAATCGTTTGGTTGTCAGTTCGGGTGAACCACCTCGTTCGGATTGTCAGCGTTCTTGCGATACGTTGACCCGAGCGAGCTGCTCACTCAGACTTTTCGGAACTATGAATTCGGATAATGAAATAAGAGTTTAAAGAATGTGGATGGCGAAATAAGGGTTCCAAGAATGCGTCACAGGACGTGACAGTACATATATGTATTAGTCATTTATCTATAACTTATATTTTTTTCAAGTCGATTGTTGTGGTAGAACGTATGCAAATAAACTAAAAATTAGTGTAGCGCGTGGAGCGCTTGGGAGCTGCATGAACTGTATATTTTGCGCAGCGGGGTGTCACTCAGCCAAGACCGCTGCAGTAGTAATAGTGATGATATTAAACAGAATAGTAATATTGGTAATGGTAGTAAGTAGCAGCAGCACAAGTAGTTATATTAATTGTTAAAAATAGTAATTTTAATATACATATTGTGACCCTCTTCGGGGGTTCACTCTATACAATAAAACTTTCGTTACACAACTTTATTTTACTTTGTCTCATAACACTCTATCACGCGTTGGGCGCCAGCCACTCGCTGTGGGAATCGAAATTTGAAAGGGAAAGGGGGTAATTGTGGGTGTTTTACAGGGGATGGGTTTCGGGCATTTACGTCCGTACAATATTTCGCGGGGGAGTACGCAAGAAGGACTGTCTAGGGCTGGGAGAGATCTCAGGGTGGGAAAAAGGGTTCGCAGGAAGGTTCGTATACGTTACGCGTAGGAGGATTTTCGTAGACGGGAATGGTAGGGGTTGGACGAAGGGGTTTGCAACGTGGAGATTTTGAATCGTCGATACAATACGCGGACGCGAGGGGATGGGTCTAGGAAGGGACCTCTTCAGGCAACGGGATAGATCGATTATCGATTGTCGATCTGCCGGTGATCGGGGTCGATGGGGCTGACGGATATCCTGCGATGGCAGGTGGGCTGAGGTCTTCGGGCTCGGCGACAGATGGCTCCGGGTGGGCGTGTTCGCAATCTTCTGTGCAGCTTCGTCTAGTTTTCCGAAGTCCCGCGTTGCTCCTTTCTCATGGAAGGGTTGAATGTCTGTCGCCGGCCTAGAAGCTCCTGTTGAGGGTGGTCCTCATTGGTTCTGTCCGTTGCCTCCATCGGCCCGATACCGGAGGGCAGGGGAAAGGGGTAAGGTGAGGGAAGGGTTAAGGGTTATCTTTAGGTGGGAATGTGAGGTGGGAGAAGCGCAGCGATTGTAACGGGGGGGGGGGGGGGGGGGGGGGGCACGGGTGTCACGTTACAATATATAAAAGATATTTAATCGTCGATATCGCTATTTTCATTTATTATCGGGTGTATTTCATTTTTAGTAAAAATTTCAGCTGGTTTGGGAATTTTTGATAAATATCTGCCATAAGCTAAATAATAAATTAATGCAGCAACATGCGAACAACATCCAACTGTTCTTTTGCCATTTGCACATTCGCAAGCATATCGTGTCACTCCTGAATGACCTATGGTATTTGGCAAATATTCTATGTAACAGCGATATGTCTTTTTATTTATATGTCGAGATTTTACAAACAATTTTAAAATATTATTTTGTTCTTTTACATATTTTGCAGTAATTGAACCATCCTCATTCATTATTTCGGCCTAATACGAGATAGCTTGAGAGAATTGGTATAACCCTGTGAATAAGATATGTAAATCATTTTCTGTCATTTCTGGAAAATCAAGAATATCTGAAGTAGATATATTGCTAAATATAAGCTTTTTTTCTGTTCCAAACATGTTTTTCTATTTCTTCCGACAATGAGTTTTCTTGATTCTTTTTTTCTTTCATTTGAGTAATAATATCCAATGATCCTGCATTGGAATTTAAACGTTTTCCATAGTAATTTTGTAAAAATGATGCAATTTTACAATAAATTCCAATTTTTGGTAACATTTTATTATCTAATTTTCTATCTAAAAGGCGATATTTTTGTTTCAGAATTTCATGAATAGCTTCTACTACCCATCGTAGTTTTGTTACGAACCGTGATTCGTTACATTCAATGGTTGATAATTGAGCTCGTTTTCCCGTTGAAGCTAGCATCAAAACACCATAACCCCTTTCAGTTAACATATTTGTAACGTCTCTGAAACCACGGTCGTGTATGAAAATATCTCCCTTTTCAATTAAATTACATAATCCATTTGAATCGGTCATTAATTCTTTCATTATTGAAGCAGCATTTTGGGTAGCGTAATATGGACCTAACATATCAACTATATAACCATCTGTTGTACAAATGGTAAAAGGTTTGCAGAGCGGTACTTTTTTTTGTCCAGAAAATGATTTTCGTTGATATATGTTATTCGTACTTTTTTGGTGGCGAATGTAAGTCTCATCACAAATTAATAACAATTTGTTACCAATATTGTACAACAATTTAGCTACATTACTAGTATGATTATTAATTAAATATTCCCTAGTGACAGATTTTAAACCGAACTTTAAGGGAAGAACGTCTTTATCAAACGCATTCATGACTGCTTTTGAATAATCTGAAACTAATTGTTTATGTTCTAACTGAAAAATAGAAGCAATGGTTTCATTTGTTTTACCACTTCGTAATTTAAATAAAAAAATAATAATAGCTTGTGTAACACTTCGAGATGCCGAATTCTTCATTGATGTTAACATTGTCTTCAATTCTATAATATTTTCCCATGTTAAGCCAGTGAATATGAATAGTTGTTCTTCTGGCATATTAAAATCACCAATTGTGTCAAACAATGATGAATCACAAGTAATTGCTAGGCTATTTAATAATCGTTGTAGTTCTACAGGCTTGATGAAACTAAAATGTGAATAAACGGATATATTCTTCAATTCGTCATTATAAAACTTATTTTTAATTAAATGTTTCTGGCAACATCGGTTCCCTTTTGGAATATAAGTCTTTGTCTTAATATATACTTATAATTTTGCTTCAAACGGAACAACATGAATATTTTTTGTATCATTACAAATAAAACAATATTTGTGTGTTGCAACAGTTCTTTTTATAGGAACTTCAATTTTAACAACGTCATCTTTGTTACGTCGCGTGCGAGCGATACGGCGCGCGCGACGTACAAAATTAGAAAACGAAAACGAAAGTTTGGTTAATTAGTGTTAATACGCGGTTGAGAACGATATTAGCGCTGCTACCAGTCCTAATCGTAGTTGACGATGTTGGGTCAACCACGATTAGAACAATTTAAAAAGAATCGTTAAATCAAAGTAAGA